AGAGGCCCATCAAGCCTGACCTTGAATGTCTCCACGGATCACCTCTCTGGGCAACCTGTGCCCGTGTTTCACCACCCTTGTAGGGAAGAACTTGTCATAGAATTGTCAGGGTTGGAAGAGACCTTAAAGATCATCTAGGTCCAAACCTTCTCTAAACCTTCTTCCTGATATCTCATCTAAATCTACCCTGCTCTAGCTTAAAATCATTGCCTCTCATCCTATGACTACACACCCTTGCACCCAGTCTTTCCCCAGCTTTTCAGTAGCCCCTTCAGGCACTGGAAGGCTGCTATAAGGCATCCCCAGAGTCTTCTCCTCTCTGGGATGAACAGTCCCAACTTGCTCAGGCTGTTCTTGTAGTAGAGATGCTCCTGTCCTCTGATCTCTTTTCTGTCCTTGCTCTGTACCCGGTCCAACAGGTCCAGACCCTTCTTGTGTTGAAGGCTCCACAGCTGAACGCAGTACTCCAGCTGAGGTCTCAGCAGAGTGGAGGGGCACAATGAGCTCTCTTGATCTGCCAGTCACGCTGCTTTTTGTGCCGCCCAGGATGTGATTCCTTCTTGGCTGTGAGCATGCATTTGTTGCTCATGTCCAGCTTTTTGTCCACCAGTACCCTTAAGTCCTTTTCTGCAGGGCTGTTCTCTACCACATCAACCCCAACCTGTATTGATAGTGAGGACTGACCTGACCCAGGTGCAAGAACTTGCACTTGGCCTTATTGAACTCCATGAGGTTACATGTGCCCAGTTTTCCAGCTTGTTGAGGTCTCTCTGGCAGAAATGTCATCCCTCCGGCATGTTAACTGCACCATCCAGCTTGATATCATGTGCAAACTTGTGGAAGTTGGAAGGGACCTCAAAGATCACCTGGTCCAATCCTTTAAGGTAAAGGAATATCATTTAAATGAAATGGGCTTTTAATGACCCTGTCAAGCTGAGCCTTCAAACTGTCGAAAGTTGAGGAATTAACACTTCCCTTGGAAGACTATTCTAATTGCTCTCATGCTGAAAAGTTTTCCTCTAGAGTCCAACTGGAATCTCCCCATGAGCAACTTGCCCCCATTACCCCTTGTCTTTTCTATGTGACTCCTTGTAATAAGGGAGTCTCCATATTCTTTCTGGCCATGCTTTATTTCCTGGTACATGGTAAGAAGGTCCCCCCTAAGCCTTCTCTTCTCAAGGCTGAACAAACCCAACTCATTCAGCCTTTCTTCTTATGGCAGATCTTCTAGTCCTCTGATCATCCTCATGACCCTTCTCTGGACCCTTTCCAGCCTGCCTGCATTTTTTTTGTACAGCGAGGACCAAAACTGAACACAGCACTCAAGGTGTGGTCTGAGCAGAGCTGAGTAGAGTGGCATGATGACTTCTTTATCTCTGCTGATGATGTCCTTGTTCATGCAGCCCAGCATCCTGTTGGCTTTTTTGTCACTGCAGCCACTGTTTGCTCATGTTGAACCTCCTGTCCCCTGATACTCTCAGGTCCCTCTTTCCAGGGCTGCTCTCCAGCCAGGTGGATCCCAGTCTGAGCTGCAGTTGTGGGCTGTGTATTCCCAGGTGCAAGATCTTACACTGAACTTCATAAGATTCCTGCTTGCCCACTCCTCCAGGCTGTCCAGGTCTTCCTGGAGGATGGCTCTCCCTTCTGGAGTGTCAACTTCCCCACTCATTTTGGTCTCATGATGAACTGCTCCATCAGCCTCCTCGGCACCGACATCGAACTGACAGGCCTGTTGTTTCCTGGATCCTCCACTCAGACAGAGATCTTGATGACGACACATAGCTAATAAAAGAAATCAGTTTATAGTGTGCACACACAGCCCACCCTCCCTGCTTCCTAAAAAACCCCATCCTTTGAGAGTGACCCTTTGCTGAAACCGCAACCATAGAGACACACTCTGCTCTGCCGGGTTATCCCCTGCTGCTCCCCTTTAAGGTCCCGGGGCTTCCTCTTACTGAAGCGATCATGAGGATTCTCAACAAATGCAATCGAATACTCACGTTTAGTCTGTCTCTTTGTCTCCTCGAAAGCGGATTGGCAAAGCTGGTTCTTATTTCACATAACTGCAGAATCACAGAACCATAGAGTCATTAATGTTGGAAAACACCTCAATGATGATCTAATCCAACCATCTACCCAACAATACCACGACCACTAAACCACGTCCCAAAGTGACACCTCTGTACTGGTTTTGAAAGTATGAAGACTTATTGTGGGTTTTCTAGGAAAGGATCAAAGGCAGGGAAAGGGGGGGAATCGAGGTTTGCTAGGGATGAAATAGGGCTAAAAATGACCAGTCACATCTGAAGAGGTTGCTGGTAAGAGCTCTTGCATGACCATGCCCTACAGCTGATCACAGCCTGTCCTGCCTCCTTGTTAAACTCCATTTAACACTTTCCTGAAGGGATCTCTGCTCTTTGTACGTAAGGAACTGTGAGAGACAGGCCGTGGGGTGGGGACCACAAGTCATAGGGTCTCATGTTAGTGAATATCCTGAGATGTAGTCAATGAGCAGGATAAGGGGGCTGGGATCCAAGTATTAGACAGACCTCAAGTCTGTACCAGAGAGCAAAGAGTCCAGAGGCCCTGGGAGTTGATCAGTGGAGAAAGTAGGTTGTCCAAAGCACCTACGGTCAAATCTGCGGGGTTCAGGGGCTCTAGTGTTGCTGAGGCCATAAGTCTAGACTGAGACAGGAAGTAACCCTTTACTTTCCATGCCAAGTACCTCAGATACAGCTTCAGAGGTATGAGCTGGGTGATTATGGTCAGGCCTAGGAGCCCAACCTGAAAACCTGGGAAATCCACTCAATACTTTAAAAAAAATATAAAAAGCCCAACACATTTTTACCAGCTGAAATGTTTTAATATTCTTGAACTACTTGTCTGGAGCTCTCAAACCAGGACAAACACTTTCAATAAAATATCACTGTAGTTTCTATTCTTCTGAAATATGAATTTTGAAAAGTTTTATTAATTGAGGGAGAAGAAACACTGAAACTCCCCTGTGCTTGCCTTGTCCTCACTCTGTCCATCACGTATCTCCCTAAACATCCAGGTGTGAGAATGTTCATCCAGCCGGCACGCTTAACAGATTCCCCACACCAGGCAGTCGGCAGCCCCAGATGCCAAACTTGCTGCCCAGCATGAGATGAGGGAACCGTCCCCAGGGCTGCTCGCACACCTCCCATTGCCCCAGGGACAGGGCAGCCTGCCCTGAACTGACACCCACAGCTTCTCTTGCTGTGCCTCACCTGCACACACATGTTGCCCTGCTCTCCTGCCAGGACATCCCATCTCCTCACAGAGCCTTGCCCCAAGGTCAGCATGTCTTTACTTGTCCAACTGGACATTCCAGCACCCCTTCCCTTGTTCCTCACATCCCCTGAGTTGGAGAGCAGCTCTGCAGACACCAAGCACAGGTGCTCCCTGGCCCTGCTGCTGTGCCAAGACTCTCTTCCCCTCCACCTGTGCACAGAGGAACTGCCCTGAAGCTTTACAAAGGTCTCAGAGGAAGGATCTTACACACAAAAAAAAGAATTTGCAGAGGCCCTTAATTTGTTTAAATACACAGAGAAAATTACTCTTCTTTACACAACATTTAGGTGAAATTCAACTGGTAGACAGTTAATTAGAAGTGGGAGGCGTAGTAAGAGTTCATTGCGCACAATGTTATCTCTAAAATAAATGAAAAAACTTTCACACAATCATCTCCAAAACTCTGAGAAGGCAGGCTGGGCTTGCAATGAGTTTGTTGAGTGTCACCGCTGGACCAG